AATGTAGCTATATGAAAAATGTCTCCTCCCATCTGCTGTATTGAATCAAGTCAGCTTAGATTCTTCCTTTACACCGTGGAGCACTTGGATCACTAATTTACAACCTGTTTTATATCCTCTGGTTGATGTTTAGCTGAACTTGCCTTGGCTTTAAGACATGTGCTGCTGACTATAAGAAGTCTACAAGAACACAGCTCGGCTTTAGAAATCTTTTCATTACTTCATTATAAGATGAATTGTCTTTAAAGTGCACCGGCTGCCTCTGGAGACAGAGAGAAAGCAGAGCTGTATTGTTTAGCAATTGGAATCGTTTGTGGCAAGAACTCTGAACAGTCTGGCAGAAGAAAACCCAGCCTGGGAGCAAAAAAGAACTGTGAAAGTGAACTAATAATCAAGAGGACGACAAAATGAATGTAACAGAAATACCTACAACTAATGGGACTGTTACTCCATTCAATCCTATCTGCCGAAACAGACAAGCTCCATACTCCTATGAGATCCTGGAAAGTAAGTAAACTTTTCCTAGTTATGTAACATTTTAGGCTACATGCTCACAGCCATAAGAAATGTACAGAATTTTTTTTTCTGCCCAAATAATTCCTGGGTAATGATCAGTAAAATACTTGCATTTAGACGTGTAAATATGTATGCACTTAACCACTTGAAGACTAGGGTGTTAAGCCCCCCTCTGGCCAGGGCATTTTTTTAACATTCAGCGCTGCGGTACTTTGTCTGACATGTATTCAGTCATACAACGCTGTGCTGAAACTCATTTTATACAATTTTTTGGGGACACATAGAGATTTCTTTTGGTGGTATTTAATTACCACTGGGGTTTTTATTTTTACTATATTCAGGAAAAATTACCAAAAATTTGGAAAAAGACAATTATTCCCCTACATTTTGTTATTAATCATTTATTATTAACCAATTTTTTGGTAAACTATAAACGATGGGGGTCACGTCGGGTAAATAGACACCAAACATGTCAAACCTTAAAATTGCGCACACCCACGAAACCGCAAAAAACTGCAATACCCAAAATTGCCCATAGGTGACGATATCAAAGCTTTTACCGCACATCAGTTAGCTGTTATCAGGGATCGATGACCCTAGAATTATTGCTTACACTCTTACGTTCGCAGTGATATGTAACATGTGCAGCGCAATTGTCGTTTCTGCGCGTAGTCACACCCGACACATATTTACGTTTGTATGTGTGTATACATGGGGGCGGGGGACTTAAAAAATGTTTTGTTTTTAATTTTTTTGTGTGACTAATTTTTTTAAACTTTTCTTTTTTACACCTAATGTTATTGCTATCACATAGGGGGCTAACAATCCCCCTATGTGATAGCACAGGCACACTGACAGGTCCTCTTTATGGAGACATCAGGTGTCTATAAGACCCCTAATGTCACCTAGGGACCCCCAAGGCTATAGCAGCCAGAGAAATGACTGCTGAATGTGGAAGTGATGTAACACACACTACTTCCACATTCAGAGATCGGAGGAGAGATTAGCAAGTGAGAGAGTGCCAATCTCCCTCCGATTCTAACACAGAGAGCTGCCGAGCCATCCCGGGCCCGCAGAGAGGACACCAGAGCCTGGGATAGCCTGTAATGGCGGTGGAGGGGGGGTGGAGCTGAAAGATTGGGGGCGCACATTGCCGGGCACCAGTGGCGTAACCAGAGTTCTGGGCGCCCGGGGCAGAAATTTCCCCCCCCCCATTATATAAACAACCACTGGAACTGTACCCTGCACCTCCCCCCCACACACACATATTTTTATTTTTATTTTTCAAATTTTAATATTTTATTTTTTTAGAAACTTTTTCATTTTTTTACAAGATAGGCGGCCGAGCGGTGTGGGAGGAAAGATACCGGCCGCTCACAGCGCTCGTCCCGCAGCGCTCGGCCGGCTGTCATTTTCTCTCTGATTCCTTTCATCCCCGCTGGGCACTGCTCTGTGTCCCAGCGGGGATGAAAGGAATCACGGCCGCGCCGACAAAACGGCAGGAAAATGTAACTTTCGGCATTTAGCCGAAAGTGCCATTTTCAGCCGGCGCCCCCCCTTCACTTTTCGCCCGGGGCCCGCGCCCCTGCTGCCCCCCCCGGTTGTTACGCCACTGCCGGGCACCATACAAGAGATCGAACAGCTATAGAGCCGCCCCAAACACTTGTATATGTAACAGCCATGTAGCTCCTCAAATCATCTCTGAATTGGTGCTGACACTGTCCTTCCTTCTGGAGGGTGGCTACTTTTGTTCCCCATGGTCCTTGGGTATGTTGTATAGTAGCCACCGCTTATTAAGTCCTGAGTTTAGTGTCACTTTAAAATATATAAAATTCTCTTTCTGTTCCTCCTGCTCTGTCTTGTGTTTTGACATGGGGCCCCCCTTAAAATCCCTTACATTACATTTTAGACTGGGGCGTCTCGAGACCTTTCATACTTTTGAAGTGTCCCGTGACTACAAAAAAGTTGAGAAAAGTTGAGAAACGCTGGGGGTATACAGTATATGGTATAGATAGTAGTTAGTCACATTTAATTGGACTTGTTTTGTTATGTTGAAGTGGTTTAGCTACTCAATTAAGTAATTTGATAATTTCTATTGAGTGTCAGGAACATACCGCAACATTTATGGCCATATGGGCAATTTCGTCACCTTAATCCATTCGTCAGGATGAATAATTCTCTGTGGCATCTAAACACTCAGCAACAATGTCCAACGCCATGCAGCTAATGGGCTGATCTCTGCAAATGTACCAGAAATGTGTAATTTTTACTGATGATCACATGGCATGGTAAAAACAATGTTTTCATTGTATCATTAGGCAAGTTTACTTTAACAGAAAAATGTCCACTGTCTCTGGGAGCAGGCTAGCGGTCTGGATTTGTCCACTACTCTGACTTGGGGACAATCTGAAGTGGACGTAATAGGGTGGCCCCCATGAGTGGGGGGAAAATCTTTGACATTATTTTTTTGTCAGTTCTCCTCATAGTCCTTCTAGTTTGCATACCTTCTTATACAAATATTTGATCTTAAATGACAGCAAATCCACCAGACGACAATATTATATGTGTGAGTGTCCCAATGTGCTTATGGAAGACTAGGACAGATATGTTGGCCAATTTCTAAATGGACTCACATGGAACATCTTAGTTCAAAATGTTCTTTTTCTGTGATGACTTTCCTTTATATGTAAATGTCCCCCACCCCCCCTTATTAATGGGTCTTCTCATATATTTAGAGCTAAGTTTTCCCAAAAGAGTTTTTTTTTTTTTTTTATAGCCAAGATCTTAAATGTGCAATGGTTAAACAGATCAGATTGTTATAGGGTTACTGTTATGTTTCTTTGCAAACCTAGTAGAGCGGAATGGTTGTATTCCAAGCCAGAGACTGGGCCTCTTTGCCACCGAGCAATTCTAACTCATTCTGGACCTGCTTTAACTGTTTAACTTTCACTAGAGATTTTCCTGATGGCATGAGATGACCTAACCATAAAACCTTTTCCCTTCTCACTGTCGCTCTATATGTACTAAGCTTTCTACCTTCTAAAAAGATTTTTCTCTGAAAATGTGTGCAAAATATAGATATAATAAGGGCCTTTGAAAGGTAATGAGCCCTGCATTCCATTGGCCCCTTGTTACTAGTGCAAGCACTTAATTCCTTGTTACTACAGTAAACTCTCTGTTAACCAGCATTCAACTAACCATAACTCTCATCTAGCCGGGGGGAAAAAACACTCTGTGCACTCACGGTTCTGCCGATCTGAGAACTTGTAGGAGAGGGAGAGTGGGCTCTGCAGCATGAGAAGGTAGAGAGAGGAGAGGATCATGGTCGAAAAGTGCTGGATTATCCTGGGAATGAGTGTCTGAATGATCGTCTGTGAGCTAGCGCCAACTAGTGATCACTCCCAGTACTGTATTGCCCATGGATTACAGTACAATGTCAGGCAGCCTCAGCACACACAGCATAACAGCACCTGTATTAGAGCACCTGTACTGGAGCACCTGTATTAGAGCACCTGTATTGCAGCATTAATACTAAGTGTGTCTGTTTGTCTTAATTTGCTTTTGATTACTTTATTTCAATATTAATATGAAGTCAATACTGAGTTTATGTTATGGTATGGTATAGTATGGGGTATAGCATTAGTTATACCTATCTTTAATAGTAACTCTCAAGCATTCAGAAACTACATTTATCTGGAATCTACCAATCCCTGTGGATGCCAGATAATGGGGAGTTTACTGTATTCTGCTTCTCAAAACTTGTGACTAGCACTCTCTGCAATCTGCACTGCTAGAGAAAGGATTGGTACTCAGAGACAGCTATTAAACCTTTGTTTACACAGGTAAGGGAACCTTGAATGTAAGCCGATCTAACAGGAATTGGATGAATTTCAAGCAGTGTATGACCAGCTTTAGCTTTTATAATAATTACTGTTTTTATTGTTGAATGAGCTGAGCAAAGTTCAGTATGGTGGTCATTCACCAAACCAAACAGAAAATGATCAAAAATTGAACATAGTGCTCGAACCTCATTGAAGTTTACGGAAGCTGAATCTTGTAATGTTTGTCTGCACCTTTACAGGCCCAATTTGCAAGCATTGTTAAAAAGGGGGCATGGGTACTTGGGGATTGCCATAGGAGGCATGTATCATATGAATACCAAAAACAAAAAAATACGTTCAGTGAGGCCTTTTAATGCAGCTTAAAGTGCAACATTATGAATACACAATTCATTTCAATAATATGCCTGGGGGAATGTCTTAAACCTGCATGTAAATTTGTGCTTGTAAAAAAAAAAAAAACTACTGCTGCCTAAATGACATTTCCTGGCTGGCTTCAATCTTTTTGTAGAAAATGATATGAACCAAATCCATACCAAAGTCTTATCCAGTAGATATTGGTCTACCCCAAGACGTTGTTTTTTTCTTAAACAAAAAATATTGTTTATAAACATGTGTGGTGTGCCGTTATGAAAAAAAAAATAAACAGCGTGGGGTGCCCCTCAGTGTCAATACCAGACCCTTATCTTTGATAAGGGTTCAATGTGGATTTTGAGAGGCACCCAAGACAAAAAATAGATCAATATCAGACCCCTATCCAGGCATGCAGTCTGGAAAGGGGGAGCCATGCCACATGCCCTCAACATTGGAGGGGTGCCTTGCAGGTGGGGATGCAAAGCCTCCTTTCCTGCGAGACATCTTGTCCCAATGTTTATGGGAACAGGGGCCCCATCCCACATCCCTGGCCTGGTGGAAGTGGAGTGTGCGGGAGGGACCTATCGGAATATGGAAGCCGCCATTAAGATAAGAGAGGTCCTTCCCGCCTTTAAGATAAGAGAGGGCCTACCCCTCTATGTGAATGAGTATGGGGTACCCCCTGTTATTTATTCATAAAATAAAAGTTAATAGTGAAATAGTAAATAAACATACAGTACATGCATGCCTCGGTTAGAGTTTCTGCTGGATGTAAGTGTTGTTGAACCTCAGCATGCA